CAAAAACTAGACTTTGATATGAAAAAAATTATTGTTCATCATAGTTTTAGAAGGTATACCAATTATTTTTCCAAATGTAAATTTCATAGGTAGATTTAATGTAACACTAGGATTTAAGAGTAGCTCATTCAAGAATAAATTATAAAGTCTAAAGATGAAAAATACTTAGAATGGTTCTACTTTTTTCAATATAAATCTTTCAAACACATATACAAAGATTAGCTCTTCTATCTATCATCAAATCCTTCCTAGTGAAATAATGACATGATGTATAAACCTAATGATTACATGAATTGTTTATGTGTCACTTTCAAACCCATAAATTGTTGATGTGTTGTTTCCAACTTACACATTAACTAGTAAATTTAATCTTTATCTAAGCAACATACTTATTGCTCATATATTGCTTTCAATAAACACACTAACTAGTACATGCAATCTTTAACTAACAAACATACGTATTGCTGATTTGTTGCTTCCAACTAACACACTAACTAGCACATTCACGCTTTACTTAACAAACACATGAGTTACTAATGTGTTACTTTAAACTAACACACTTACTTTTTACTTATCAAGCATATGAATCATTGATGTGACTATTGTAGATCATCCATTATATTTTTAGCATGAGTACACTCTACTTTAATTTTAATTAGTTAAAGATGGTTACACTTAGTCATAAAAATTTGATATAATCACAACTAATATAATCAAATCTTTGGTTAATTATACTAATATTTCACACATAAAACTTAAGGTTTTATATATCATTGTGAATTGAGTTGATAGTAACAAATCAATTTACCAATTGAAACGATGAAGTAGAAAAAAGTATTGAACGAGGATGAACGTGACACCGGAGAAGACTTCTGAAATTATCACAATCTCATTCACTTCTACAATCTACTCTAGGGCCATGTTTATTTCATTTTTGTGTTTTTGTTTCATCACTTCAATTCATCATACAAAATCAACTCTACTAGTTGGAATAATGAAATAGCATAGAACATGAAATGAAGATGAATGAGGCATACGAGTAAACTTTTGTAATGATCACAATTTCATTCATTTTTATTATTCACTCTAGTGCTACATCCAACTTTATTTATTTTTTGTATTTGAATGAATCAAATACAAGATAAAGCTCAAAAATTTATATTAAAAAAACATGAATCTTATAATACATTAATTTGTGATATGATATTCAATAAATGATTTTGTCAATTTCCATTTAAATATCACTCATTATCATACATAAAATATCACAAATTATTGCTGGTCATAATTTAATATTGAATAAAAATTGTACTTGATTGTATAACACTATGAATGAAGTTTGATGAAAATAAATACTTATTGAAATAAATTAGATGTGCATAATATTAAATATTTGAATAAATTTTGATATGTTAATCTAATTTTTTATTGATCATTGGCCAAAATTGTTTTAAAAGTATTTAAATGTTGTATATTTACACATTAATAAATGGCAGCAGCTAGTTATTCTTCACTTTTGGCTATTAATTCTCACCCTACTTTTTTTTCTGCTGCAAAGGTTCTGTGATTAGTTAGACGCAGAAAATAAACACACAACTGGCAATGACAAAGTCGTATTTTTCACCATCCTGCATTGATTACTTTGTCCGCGTCTCATTTTCCGTGTCTTGCTTTGTGGGCCGTCTTTCAACTCCTTCCACACAAACTGATTCTTGATCTCTGGCGAACTCGCCCCACTGCGTTGCGGATCAAATATGTACTAACAAGTCCTTGTCCATAGAGGCAGTAATCTATGCGTTCGTTTGCCATCCCGCATTTCTCTTGGAGAAACCAGACCTTGCCTCTTGTAGGGCCAGAGGTTATGAAAATTCTTCTCCAAGCGCGACCATTGAAGAAATAAAAATGGGGATAATTCAAAAATCTTTGTTGCATTGACGGTGCCAAAGGAAGGTGACAATGGCTTCAAAATTGCTGCACCGAGCGATGTCATTGCCAAGAGATTCTGACGGCATTGAGTTGGAATTTGTTGCATTTTCACCAGAGACAAAAGCTTATAATTGGATGTCTGATGAGGTTGGGCTCTCCAATCTGCTATGGCGACAAAAATATAAGGAGGAGGGGCCAAACTTTTATTACGAGACTGAGAATGGCGAACAGCAGGGGCCTAACAGGTAAAATGGCAATGACGGAGATCTCAGCCTGGGACGGAAATCAATTACAAACCTCTACAGAAAAAGATAGTAGAGTAGGGTGAGGGATAATTAGCCAAAAGTGAGGGATAACTAGCCGCTACCTAATTCATTATACTAGCATGTTGAAATATTTTTTTAAGAATTGAGAAATTAAAAATTAAAATGATATAATTAAAATATCTTTATTGAGATCATTTATGGAAAAAATTATAAATATATTATTTTTATAATAATGAAATACAAAGTGGTATGTTTTGCATTTTGATTGTGTAATCTAACTTACATAGTAACATATAATTTTTGTGGTAAAATATATTGATTGTGTGTGTAAAGAAAGAAATATATATATATATATATATATATATATATTCAACAACTAAAAGTTAGTGAATAATAATCTTGAAGTTTTATATATATGATAATCATTTAACAGAAGTATGTTTTGCTTATGAAATCATTTGATAAAGACAAACTAGCAATTGAGAATTATAACTATATTTAGTCATATATTTATTTTTATATTTTAATTCAAGAAAAATTATAACATTTTTTTGCGAAGGGTTGAATGAACATGCAATAATATATATATATATATATATATAATGTCATTTACAAAATATCATTACAACTAAAATGTTGTGATTGTTCAGAATTAAAAATTATAAAGTTTTAAGTTTGTAGGTTTTAGACTATGGAGTGTTGTCTTTGTCCACATATTTTGTAAATGTATAATACATCCAATATTTTAGTTGAATGAACATGCATTATTTTATTTGAATCTATTGACGAAACAGTTAAAATTATAATCGTTTTTAATTTTTGATATCATAATATATGCTGTATTTGACATCGTATTTTTTATTACGTAAGTATGAGAAAGTTCAAAGTATGATGATGTATTTACGCTATGCGTAAATACATGATTGAATTCTTTTATGTACCTTTTCACAAAGTTCATATTTTGGTATCGGCCTACTTACATACAATTCGTTATTTATGAACATTGTTACATTATTCTACTTGTTGATATGTTATAATATTCATAAATATTGATTTTCAGAAATATGTGTTGAATAAAAAAATTCTGACTTTTGATATGACGAAAATATATATTTTGATATCCATATATAAAGGAAGCTCAAATATGAAAGATCAAAGTATTGATAATATTTATGATGTTTTTTTAGAATTTTAGAAATTTCTTTTTATATAAAATCATTGTTTCTGGATATTTCAAACACTATGAACAATCACTTCATTAAAAAAAATTTGTAGTTGATTTTCTGAGAATTTTTAAAGATGCATTTTTTCTTCACTAAAGAAAATCTATTTCAAATAGATAAAATCATAAATTTTCTACAATTTTATCATAAATACATACCCAACTTGATGAATATCTTCGTAATCATAAGTAGCATGATCAACATATAGATAGAATTTTTTTCTTGATTTTTGATATGTATAGTTCTACTCAGAGGGAAATTCAATCTCTGTATGTGGTTATATATATAGTACTATATTATCACTTTTAAATGAATATTTATTCTAATGAATTTTTTTGTATGAGAATATTTTTCTCCAAACTGCAGGAACTAAGTACAATAATTCCTGAAGATAGTTATTTGAATGATTACACATGTAATTCATAATAATTAAATCAAAATTATCTACGGTGTCTCATCCATACAAGAATGAAACTTTTACAAATCGAACTGAAAGTGAACGGTAATGCAGAGAAAACTTAATATATGTAGATATCTTTGCTGCATGCACTCCACGGATTGAGACAGCACCTGTCTTTTACTAATCAACCTCGCTCGGGAAAGCACGTGGCAACAGAGAATTCGAGCTGCGTGGTCATAGAGACGTGGATCACAAACATGCAACCGGCCATAAGCCACGTAGGAGCAGAGATTATATTTCATCTACGGCCACATTAACCACTCCCTACAGGACACGGGCTGTTCACGGTATACGAACAATGCATGCGCTATACCGTCAGTGTATATTTGCCATATGGTCACTTTCGACAAGCTTTGCATGCGAAGGGTTGCGAAGTCCGTCTTCGCATGCGACGGATTTGTGTCCGAAACTTGCCCATTCATGTGCTCCGCGCGCGGTTTCGCTCTTTAGCCGCGCGGTTCACCTCAAAATACCCATTGTATCCTAAACTCATAGCGGTCGGTGTACCAAACTGGAAACCGCTTGCCGGAAATGGGCTCAGGGCCGTTCAGGTACGGACGCAGTTCAGTATGAATTTTGTACCTGTGTCAGATGATCGTTAAGCTTGCTCGTCACTTGAACGTGTCACAGCTACGATGGACTACGTACATGCTTGGATCGAACGGTAGGAGAGATGCGGATGCGAACATAGGTCATTCGTGTAGAGTAGGCATACCGGTCCAACATGGTAGATTGGGGAATAGGGTTTGTACCATGTACTTGGCAGCGACAGCGGAAGCTATTGCGGTAATCGTCGCTCGTCGGCCAGATCCGACGGTTCTGAGGGCAAGTCTATCGAATACTGCGTCACAACGAGCGTCACCATGGTAGAGGTGGGGCCAGAAACAGGTGGCCTGCAAGGGCATTGAGAAGTGCGAAAGAAGGGTTTCGTTCTTCTACCGAAGTACGATAAAGTGTCCTGAGTGGCGGGCGTGTACGCTGTTTTGCTGCTGTGATCTCCTGCACTCGTTGCCATTTCATCATAAAGCAATTCGATTCAGGGTTTGAAGAACTCTGGGGCTACAGGTGGGGCCCGGTGTGCGTAGTGGGGGCCTGGTTTCATGCTGTTGGGTCATTCCGTTCCGAATCGATATGTAATGGGAGCGGATGGTGTGGAATGGGTGCGCGGAATCTTGCGGAATATATATAGTTAACTATCATTCGGCGGTTGAGTTTGGAGGGTATAGATCCGTTTGACACTTGGCTCAATTCGCTGATGAGTAATTCTTGGTCCTGAATGACGACGGAGGTAGAGGGCAGTGAAAGAAGTTGAGAGAGCCAGAGGCGAAGTGGTGTATGGATGGGGAGTTTTTTATTTACGTCTGCAGAGGGATCAAATTTCTTCACCGCTTTCGCTTACAGAGGCATTGTTCACCGAGGGGAGTGTCATAGATCCGTCTGAACTTCTCGGTTAGAGAGCCCTGGTGTCTGCTTGTGCGCTTAAGGGTTTCGAGTTGGAGAGGTACGAGATTTAGATCGGCTCGTCTCCTCAGATTTTATGGTTTTTATGGTTTTCATGTTTCAATCCTGTCTTTTCGTTCGATGATAGCCGCCATCTTGATTTTCTTCGGCGGTCCTGGACTCCGCACGGGCGTTCCGGAGTAATCCCTGGCATGTCGATGTTAGTCGGTTTGTTAAGAGAATAAGAATGCGAAGAAATAATTTGTCATAAACAATTGCTAGAGAGCTATTTGAGTCCAGGAAACTCTGTCTGAGGAGGCTTTCGTGATCATATCTGACTGTCGTAGGGTCTGAAACAGGACATTTCTGTGCAATTGAAGGGCGAATTTTCGTCGTGACTGCCGTCTGGATTGCTAACTGATGTAGATGTTATTCAAAGTCACTCTTCTGCAAATTTCAAAATAACATCTAAGCTCCTATTGGAAAAAGAAGTTGGTCTTAGTACGTGTATGGGGATATGTTGCGCATTTAAATGCAAGCACCAGCTCTAGAGTAGCGGCACAATGACCCTAACGTCACATGTGGATACACTTCCGTAAGCCTGGTAGACACTTTCGAGTGTTGAGGGCGAGGAAGATATTGAAACCTAACTATGGAAAAATTTAGTAAGCGAAGTGGTATCGAAAGAGGGAGTGATAATGTTGGTAGGCGGATGTCGAGGTGAGCGTTTAAGACCTTAGAGACGATGTCAGTAGGCGTTAAGAGCAGGATTTGAAGATGGTGGCAATCGTCCTTATCATTGTCTCTCAATTGCCGTAAAGTGGAGGTCAGTCTTTGTTCGCCTGAACAGCGCAGAGGTACTCTTGGTCGAAGTTGATATTTGCTTAAGAGCGTTTGACGTGTAAGCTTTTAGTTGTTCGTCTTTTCTCAAGGGCTGCTCGCAACCTATGCACATTACGTCGACTAACATGTGCTAGTTGCAGTCGTCTGATATCGACATGTATGCATGCAGAGCCTTAAGCCCGCTGGGTCACATTAGGGCAGTTCACAGGTTCAACATCTATTCTTGACTGCATCTCTGTTTGTGGTGTAGAACGCTATGGGTGATGTGCGGAACATGTTTGAGAAGACGTTGGAATGGTCGGAAAAGAGAGATGGGTTGTAATTCGCTGAATAACTGCAAATATGATAAATCATCCGGAGAGAAGGATGAATTGAACATTACTTAGCTTTTTCTTATTAGGTATGTTCGTGCCAATGTATACTTCGATGTCCATCCATCGATTAGAATTCCTGAGAGTTACGTGGTGAAACTGTGTTTTCAATTTGGCAGTATGCAGGTCAAAAGATGGACGTTTTGGTTTGTGTGGTGATTGTGGCATTTTATGTACGGTACGAAGTTATCCTGACATTTATGAATTGTTTTGACAACTGCCTGTTCACTGTCGAGGGTTCAGAGGGCTGCACTTATTTTCCCATCGAGTTCAGCTTTTTTTGTCGAGGTTGCGTTGGGCTTTCACTCAGTATCCAAACGAGTTTATACATGCTTGCGACAAACTTCAGTGGGCGTGATTCTTGTCGATGCTATATGTTGTCATCCTACGTGTTCAAGGTTTTCTATGAAAACTTGAATTGACGCTTTTGTCGGTGCGTTTGTGGAGATTTCAGATTCTGATAAGATTCGTCCCCAACATTTCCAAGAAGGAGCTGAAGAATACTGAGATACTTTTGTACTTGCCTGAAGTTCATCGAAGCACCTCGTCTTTTTTGAGTTAATGAAGATGTCTGAGAGTTCTACTGGGTATTATGGTTATCCTCAGTACACGCTGGTGGGTGGTTCTCCGCGGGGCGCTCAGTCTGGAAAGAACTTCCTGTCGACATGTCCTCTCACTCGTCTTCTGGTTATTGCAATATCAGTCATAACCATTGGGGGAGCTGGTTACTTGATTTGGCCTGCGGAACCCGGTATAGATGTGAGGCGTATTAAGATGGATGGGATCAGTATTCAGTATGATGACTCGGATAAAAGATCGGTGTTACCTGCAATACACCTGGATGTAAACCTTAAGTTGGACCTCCTGATCACCAATCGAAATTTTTTCGGTGCAAATTACGATAAAGTCGTAGCTCATATAAAGTACAGAGGAGATGAGTTAGGGCAAGTTGAGTCAACAGGTGGAAAAATTCCAGCCAGAAGCACCGTTAGCGCTGTAGCTGCGTTAGACTTGCAAGGAAAGGAACTTTTCCAGCATGTGCCAGAACTTCTCGTTGATGTCGCAAACAGGGAACTGCCGTTGGATGTGGTCGCAGTGTTTTTTGGGGCGGTGGAGGTTTTGTTCTTCGACAAGTATGAGGAAGTATGAGACTTCTATATTTTTGTTTACTGGATATATGCACAACAGCCGTTACTTGTGTTCTTTGTTTATCTGGAGTCGTAGGTCGAGATTACTTGCTTTTGGACAAATATTTACGCCAGTTAGTTTTCCTTGTAGGTGGGGTTTTTCAAATTATCTGCTCACCAAAAACTTTCGGACAACGGTGGTCACTAAACATGATCTTCACGGTTGTTGTAGGTCACTGTGTCTTGCGAAATGTTAATCGACCCCAAGGACAAGGTCGTACTGAGTCAGCACTGTAACTTGGTGTAAGATGGTACCTGGATCAAATTGCTCCATACTGTCAAACCTGCTTCGACTTTCAGAGGTCAGTTTTTTTCGATTTGATCGTGTTTTTTTTGTTCATTGTCTTCATCATTATGGCATTTTCAGAGCTGCTCGCACATTCTTTGATTTGTATGTTTGTTTGTGTTTATTTGCCACAAAGACATTTTGATTGCAACGCTGTTTTGTGAAGGTCAAAATTAACGTTAATAACTTCATATCTTTAACTTGCAGTTTGCAGGTGATGCCTAGATGCTCGAGGAGTTGCACATAAAGGACGTACGTCCATTTTAAAAGCTTAGTCATTCAGAATCCTGTAAAGAATTTTTGAGCTCAAGATTCTCTCACTAGATCAGCCGTAGATGCATTACTGCAATGGCTGTGGATAGAACATAATATTTTAACAGGCAGAACTTTACAAGCCTTCATATGGCTGTCACATACATCATGCATAGCTTGTATATATATAGATTCAAAGACTGAATGAAGATGCTTGGAACTGGTAGACGGTGTAGAGGACTGGAGAGTCGTAGAGTTGGCGGAACACAAGTAATATTGTGAAGTTGTAGGGGACATATGTAACAATTATTTCAGAGGGTAATTCTGTAGAGGAGTAAATAGTGGTAAATATTGGAGAGCTCACTGATAGTAGTATAGAGATATTGCTAATTTTTCATTTGGGAGCCCAAACTCGTGTATTGTTGCAGTCAAGGCTAAACTAATACTGACGTAACTATCACTCGTTATCATTTAATGGACATAAGATGGTTTTGACCGAGGCAAGTGGGCAATAAAACGTATACAATCGCTGACATGTTTGGTAGTATCTTGTGGATGCTGTTTTCGAGAGATTTAAACTGGTGAAAACGAGAAGATGTTTTATGATATGTGGAGTAGAGAATAATGAAATGTTTTTCAGTTCTATGTCACTTTGTACTGAATATCGTTGTTACTGTCTAGACATAGTGATCGAACGGTGGATTTTAAACTTCTCTGATCCTTGGCTCATCAATCGTAAATTTGGCATGTAAGTATGTCTGCAAGAGTAACTACCCGCTTGTTTTCTTGTTATTTGTTTCTCCCCTCATCCCAATGGCAACGGGAATTAGGGGAGAACTTGACCCTCTTTTGAATAACAAGTAAAAACCAAGGAAAAGTAGATTTTTCATGAATAAATAACTTCACCTTCACGGTATGAGAAAAACGTAGTTTCAACTTTCACAATGGTGCTTATGGTAGACTCTTAGTGCATCTGTTCGAGCAGTCAACCTGTTCCAAAATGGGCTGGGAAGTATGATGGTCGAAAGCGTTTTGTGCATTCCCAGCATGTTTTGCCGCTGAAAATCTGGTGATATCAAGCGTTTGTATTTCTACATGTAACACTTACAGTGTCATGCAATTAACAGTGTCATGCACTCGAAGGACTTGATGCACCCAGGCATGCATGCCCTGAGAAAGGGCTCTGAGAAGAGAAATTGAGAAATTGAACACCATAAAAGACTTGGATACAATTGAAACATGAAAACTAGTTGTGGGAGAGATCACTCTGGTTATGGTCTGTGTGTCGGAGCTGTTATACACAGCGAACACGTACCTCATAAAAATATTAGAGAGTACTGGGAAGGTCTTAGTCATCAGGCTACTTCTGCCTACTAGAATTATGAGGCACGCACAACGCACCAAACCCTCACAATCCTGACATGCTTACAAAATTAATCTCAAACAAAAGAAATTTCACTTGCTCAAACAAGAACTTTTCAAATCTTGGACTGAAACTTCACTGCTCAAATCTGATGAGCGAATCTATGCTAAAAATTGAACCTGCAATGTCGGGCCAGGAACAGTCACCACTTAAAATTAATCTAATGCGCCTGAAAATACCCATGAAAAGCACGATACAAAACAGTGAAAATTCGAAAAGAAAGACAATAAATGTAATCATCGAATTCTGTTAATTTTCAACAGAAAACTGCCATCTTTTCATAGGCTCAATTCCAGTTACACAGCTCGGTAACCATGTCAGACATTGCCTAAAATCTCGTGGGCAGCACTCATAAAATAAGCACTGCCCTGCATATTTTATTCAGTTGCCTCCCTGTAGTTTGTCACTTTCTGGGGCAAACCCGCCTTCCAGATCCTTAACTAAAATCTCCTGGACACAGCTGATGAAGAAAGAACTGCTCGGCATCTCCTATTCCACTATCTCCGTGTGAATGCCACTTCCTGAGACGTACCTCTTTTCGTTCCACTTGTGTTGTCATTAAAAACCACTGGTTTCAAGTATCTACATTAATCAACACAAAAGAGAGAGAGGGAGAGAGAGAGAGGCAATTTAAAATGCTGCCGTCTTTCCTAATCTCCTGTAAGAGCCCTAGGTCGGTGCTCCACAATCTCTATGGCCATGCCCTTTTGCCTAGCAGCACGAACAAAGGCCATATTCGCCGTCAGCGTGGGGACGTTGAGCAGGTCCCCTGTCCCGAAGACGACTTTGTGCCTAGTCTTAATCTTTCCTGTTAGAGGGAGGGCCATGACACGAGCAGACGGCGCATCTGGAACAACCCTGCACACCATAACCATTCGTACAGACCAGCCCCATGCAATCCAACTTTATCCAAGCTCTCACCAGAAATTTAATAAATGTAACTTTCAGCTCACGGAAGGAGGAAGGAGCGACATCGGTGCGATAGACAGCCGTACCTCAGGCGTTGTATCAGCTTTTCGGCTCGGTCTTTCTCCTTGGGGCCTCCGACGAGCGACACAATGGAGTTGAACTCGTTGAGCACGTAGTGCGAGACCACCGGTTGCCGATAAGCGATGGCCTCTTCGATATCCGGAACCAAAGGTCTCCTCAGTTCCGAAAGTGCCTGTGCAAACGTCCCAACACGAGCACGACACTCCACTCTCAGATAGGAGTTTATGACAAAAGACACGCACTCCAACGCACCGATGATTCAGGACGCATGTACAATGTGTCCCCTCCCTCCCTCTCCCTCTGCCCCTCCCCCTCCCCCTCCATGCTTTTGCCATGACACAAAGATTGCATTATAGTTTCCGGTACAGTGAGTACCTGCTCACGAATAAAGGCGGTCATGCTTGAAAACCGTTTCACCATGTCCTCATGCGGTAAGCTCAGCAGCCGCTCGGCACCGCCATTCGATGCCTCCGAGACTAATGCTATGAGAGCAGTAGTGTCCAAATTTATGGTTCCATTAGAGGCTGCCATGCTCCGACACAACATAGGAATTTCGTCATCGTCGTGAACCGATTTTGACGAGTGGCAGGAGTCATCCGATGCTGGTTCCTCAGCAGTCAGCATCGCCTCCGGTGGCACAGCTTTGTCAACGACTGTATCCAACTTGTCTCCTTCATCTTCTGCTCCTCCTGCTCCCCCACGATCCGCAGTCTCGGGATTGTGATCGGTACAATGCTGCGACGAGTCTGTGATCACAGAATTTTCTAGAGAGGGTTTCCGGGAGTTTTTGAACCCTGCAACATCAACTTCATAGGTCACCCACACCTGCGATGGAGCTGGATCAGCTGGAGCTTCCTGATTCACTTCGACGTCTAACCATTCTCCTCCTTCGACCTCTGAGAAGTTGCAATCTTCCTGGAGATGGATGTCTTTGGAGTCGAGTACGACTATGCTGGATTCCATCGAGCTGCTGCTCACGGGGGCGGCTGAAGCTCGATGGTATCCGAGAGCGAACGAGCACGCTGCTCCGAACTCATCCCTCAATCCTCTGTCGACTCCATCGTCCACATCGCACAGGAAACAAAGCAATATCGACGCCGGCTGTTTCACAGCATCTGCGCTCGCTGCATTGAGCAGAACGAGGAGTCGCGATCTCAGCCCCTTGCCACTTTTATCCGAGTCCTGCCACATTATGTATCGAGGATTCCGGGTCGATACGACCAGCCACACTGGCCTGCCATGAAGCATGCAAGCGACGTCTACGTGCGCGACGGGCTGCTCTTCATTTGACAACTCCCGTTCATCGGCAGAGCTTTCTAATGCTGAGACCGCAAAATTGTGCATCACTGCCGTGACTCCACTCACCAGGGGATTCTGCAGAAGCCCGAAAACTGCCTCGAGGTGATCGAAATTTGTGCTGCAACGAACCTGGAAACTGTCAATACTCAGCTGAATTCAGCTCTGACCATGCAGAATCCACGGCCAAGGACGACAATTATACAACAGGTTCCGTATATAGACGCGCGTATCGTCGTTAAAGGCGACGATCGCAGCCCAAAAGCATATTCAACAAGCAGAAGCATCTTCCGACAACCAGCTCCATAAGCTTACCTCGTAAATTACAAGCAGATAATGACTCAATGAACTTTGAGAGAATGTTGCTGTTGGATGAATATAAAAAGGAAATTCGAATCTAATCGATGAATATCTAGACGAGCGTAATCGGATATAGCATCACCCGCGACGGACTGCACCGACGGTTCTGCAAGAAGGAGTTGATTTCCTTGGCTCTATCATTCGGTGTTAGAGGGACTGAATTCCGACGCACATCTGTCCATCTGCGGGTGGAATCAAGAAAGAATCGCCAGCTGCAGAGTGGGGCAGTGTTCGGACCAGCCCTGCTAGCCCAAGACTTGGAAGTAGACATTCTTTCTAGTACAAACTGGGCCATCAGAGGGCAAAAGACGAGTATGTGTAGCACTCGAAGATTGGGAGGAGCTGTGATTGTCAAATCTGACAAAGAAACAAGATAGGCTTCATTCCTTGCGTGATTTCGGATAACTGGCAGCTATTCGGCGGTGTGGCAGATAAGACGAAGATCAGACCTCGAATCTGGGCACCTGCGTAATCAAATTGACTGAGTTCTACCAACCTGCGAAGCTCTGGGCACGACGGAGGAAGCCTTTCGTCGTTACCGACCAGACGGTTTACGAAGGCCAATTCGCCACGAACGTGCTTTAGCAATCGAGCGCTGCCAGGTCCTCCCCATGCCCTCAGCTTTTCTTGAAGCCCAAGCCCGCGAGTGTAGAGGCTTTGCGCATTGCACCTATCTCCTCCCGTTGCCATACCTTCCTCGAAGCTATTGGATGCTCACAGCATGGTTCAATTCCTCAAAGGAGATCGAGTCGTGTGTCGCGAGGGCAGATGAACCCTAAAAAGACGAACAGGGCGCTTTGCTCGTCACTTTCTTCACCTTCCCCGAGTCCTTTTCGACAATCAACGAATCGACAGCGATTTCTGGCCTTCGGCAATCGTGCTTTTCTCCACCGTTATCAGTTTTGGACAGTTGTCATTCACAAACACTTTGGGCTGATTCATTCCATTAGAGCATTCCTCATTTTTGATGGGTTCAGCTGCAGGGACCAATCATTTTAAAGATTCGCAAGCATTTCGATTTGATTCCTTTGTGAGAAAGCGAATTATTAAAGGGGGATGTTGTAGTTCAGGAAGGATAGATCGACGTCGAGGGATTCGTTGTGGATGAGAGAGGGTGGGAGCTTCGGCGGACTCACGACTTCCTCTCCACTCCTCGACAGCATACGCAGATGAAGCTCGTATGCAGACTACATACAAACCCGATCATTAAATGCAAAATATTTCCATAAATTATTGACTCCATCATTGGACAGTCGATGGAGGAACAATTATCGTCCTCACAAGAAAGATGGACAATTGTGAGGTGGAGTAGTGTGTGACCGCGTTCGGTGATTTACGGCTGTTAGCCAATATTCACTATCGCCCGGAATTGCTCGGACTTGGAATCAGAGAATTCGAAATCAGCTCATCGGCTGTTCCATGCTACATCGCAGGACGCCGGCGCGGCGAGCAGGTGGAACTTGTATGAAATGTCTAGTCATCTCATCCCATTCAAGGCTTGCCCACCGCTTCAATGATTCGCAAAGACCCTTAGACTCGATGATGTGGTACAAGCTTCGCTGAAATTTACCGTAAAGCTGAGCATGTGAAGCCATCAGCAGAAACGAGTTAGAAGAGCATAATTCTCATCCTTGATCCTTGATTCCAACCCTCAGCCCTCGGCTCCCACGAGATAGACACGTCACTTTCGTGGAGAAGAACAACAGATTCACGACATTCACATTCCTTGATCGACATCATGAGTTCAATCATTGCTCGAATTCGGTGCAGAGTACGAACGTCAACCGCAGACTAGAACAGAGCTCAGCTGACACTGACAAGCTTGGATCTCTTCATGAAGAAGATTACGGAACGAAAGGCGACTGGAGTTCTCGGGGAACAATCTTCACAAAAGCACCAGCTACAGCTACAGCAAGCGTACATCTCTGAGATCGACAGATGACCGACGATCTCCTCTCATCTCCTCTTTTCCTCTCTTCAACCACAATTACGCTCCTCGGCATAGACACGCCTGACATACTTCGGCCACTTGTCTGTGCAGTGAAAGAGAACGGATAGTGAAGAATCCGGCCGTCTCAGAGCATGCACGTCCTCCCCAGCACCTCAAACGTGCCTGCAGAATAGATAAAGTATGCGACAGACGCACCGCGAGCAGGAATCGATCAAAAGGGAAGGAGAGGGGAGGGGAGGGGCTGGATCGGATGATAAGGGAAGGTCACACAGTCACCATCATTAATAACGTATGAGTAAGCTCGTCTGGGATCTCTGGGCGATTCGGTTCCAAGGTTCTGATCGGGCTCATCATGTAGAGATCGGTGCTCGCGAGACTCATTAACGACCGTATCCCATCTCCTCGATTATCCCCATGGCAGCGGCAAGCGTTGCGAGCATCATGCGCGCTAGCTGACTGCTCCTCGCTCACTGCAGCAGCGGCAGCAGCCTGCTCTCCTTCCCTTCCCTTCCTTCCTCCTCGAGCCCTCCTCCTCCTCCTGCTCCTCTTCCTCTTCCTCTTCGGCCCCGGACATTTGTTTGACCATCGCAATAAGTCCAAGATTCACCGAGCCGCACAACATGCCCCCCAATTCCCCACTACAACCATGAGCCATCGCCGTAATGAATTCGTGAACAATCATGGGCCCCGCTCATGGGCACTGCAAGTGGTCCTGGAACCTTCACGTCACTCGACCTCGATCACTCGAAGGCAAGGCTTCGCTTCGCTTCCCTTCCCATGCCTTCCCATCCCTTCCCTTCCCTTTCCTCTGCCCCCCGCGAAGAGAAGTCACAAGGCAATGCGTTGAGCTCGCACGGTGATCGAGTTAGCGAAGCCGCCGTTCTCAGTCGACGTTTCGCCTGCAACGTGTCGGTGCGGGAAGCCATGTAACCGAAAAGGTGTTCGCGGCACACGCCTGTGGAGCATCTCGGCCGTCGGATCCAACGATCGCGTGTCCTTCGTTCTGTTCCGCGCCGAGCTGGCCAAGTCGGCCTTCCTCTGTCGTTCACCCGTTGTTCTCTTAACTGTGGTCGTGACAACCAAGAACGTCCGCGCTTCAACGGTACTCGACTGTGGTTCGCGGCCGAGTGTCCGCGACCGTTCACGCTCCTCGGGCGGACCCCAGGAGCCTGAACAACCCGATTCACGAGTCCGGACAACTGTGGTCACCGGCATGGGAATCATCACACCCGGAATAGATAAGATGAACGGACCACGCCACCCGATAACGTTGCTATCCCTTCATTTTGCCTCGTGACTGTGGATCAACCTGGTCTATTGGTGAATATAGTAGGTCTTTGTCCCTCCGTTCGACCGCGTTCGCCTTTCGAAGTAGCCGTTGCCGTCGATTCTCCATCAACGGGACTCCTCCGAATTAATAGTACCGAGGAGAGATTCTGAGACGACTTTTTCAAAGTCGAGTCCTGATGTTTAAGTCAAGTCACTTTTTCCTTACAACGCATTCTATGAATGCCGCCATGCTCTTCACATGCTTGTCATACGCAGAATGAAGGAATTCTCAATTACAGTAGGAGCACGAGACCACAATTACATGAACGGATTTTCTACAGGAAATGGAACGTTTAAAATTTAATTTGATACAGTAGTCTATGTCGCAAACTGGCGAAATAACTTTATTCTGATTGATTCAGAACTTGAAAAGTATTGCATATTGTTATTGGGCTTAAGCTCATTTCACGACTTTAGCAATATTATTTGAAGGAGAGATGAAGTTTTGCGGTCCGGATTGAAGAAGGAGCTCTGAAGCCCTTTCAGTCAATTACATTGAGATCCATTGGAACTAACGGCGTGCGACGACTCTCATTACAGTACAGTAAAGTAACGCAGTAACAAGGCTGAATCTCATCGCTAGTGAATGAGCTAGATGCCAAGGATAAGCCAGACCCAGGTAGTTGTCCTCGGGGCGTTGCAGGGGATTAGAATGAATAACAGAAAAGGCTCTCTACCCAAAATGAAGAGCTAACTTGCCTCGAAATTTTTTGTTTACGCCGGTCGTCTTCGCATGTAATTTGGTTATGATAATAGCAAGGGCAGCATTTGGACGGTCCACGTGAAGTCGGTGTGCTAGAAGCCAATTGAAGACCAGACCCGGATGTACGTTACGGGGTTGCAGGGGTTTGGACTGAAATAGGAGCAAAGGCTCTTGAACCAAAGTAAAGACATTAAGAAAATTGACTTTTCTCATACACAATTCGTCTTCGTAGTGGTAAGTCTGGTTATGATAAGAGCATGGGGAAAAAATTATGCAGTCCCTATCTGAGTCATTTAAGAAGGAAACTTCGTCCAATCTCACATGGGTTTATTTGAAATACTATACCCCTTCACAAGGTTAGGTTATAGTCAACCTACTGAATCTATATGCTTTCCTCCAGCTCATATGTCGGTCATGGAACCCAAGAGAAACAATGTCAACACGTAATAGGTACCGACCTACTAAGGAAGAGAGAAAGGATGGGAAGCTCCATCAAGCCCTACATGGATGAAACGATAAAAGAAAATATGCAATACTACACCTAATATATCTGAAATTACCTAATTCAAAAATGTTACACATTACTGGCGCATCCAAGAACGCATCAACTAATGTAGTTGCTGTCTAAAATAGGTTACATAAAGTGATAAATAAAGTGACACACACATTGCCTAGTATTCAAGTCTTCTCTCACACACTATGTCTTTTATTTCACGATCTCACCGAAGAGACTTTCATCACCTTATCAATGCAGATAAATGAAGAGTGCTGCAAAGTAGGTAGATGGATTTAGAACTCGTCAAAAGCAACATAATAGCTTGTTGATGGACCATGGCAAAAATAAATACTTTTCTAGGATCTCTCCTTGCAATATCAATGGTGGATATCTCACACCACTCCCATTGGCTCCATGAATGGAAGTGAAGTTGTAGCTAGCATACAGAGAAAGAAAGTGACAAGAGGAATTTCATCATGTATCTTTTCAACCATAGTCAAAACAAGTATACACTTAAACTCCACATCACAATCAAATGCTAACTATCATTCTGTTTAATCTAAAACACTTCCATTCTTTTGTGCTAATCTCCATGACATGAATCTAGAAAAAAGAAAGTATACAACGCATTCTACAAAAACGCACCTTACCGACGTCATGAACATCGTAACGTCGGAACATCTTGCTCCATTGGGTCGCTGCAAGCCCCTCGAACCGAGTAGATAGGTGCGGAACTACGCTTGAACAATCCGCAGGGATGACCATGATTCCGTTAAAATCTTGTTAGTTTTGAGAAGTCGATTCTGGTGGAAAACCCGCATCACCGTTACTCGCTTTTTCTCCGGTAGCCTTGTAGCCGTTCGCCTTTTCCGTTCTTCTTTTTGTCTCAACCGGTCTTTCAGTTACCCGAGGTGACTGGACCGTGGTTGGTTTAGATTGCACGACACTACAGCTCACCAGGTAAGTTGACTTGGGTGATATGATGGATGACGTGCCGGATCTGGAATCTGGTCCATGTGTTGTGGACACTTGTTGACAGAAGAAGTTATGCATGAGAACTTCTCAGCCTTTTCGGTAATTTCAACCTCATGATATTTCCAAAGATTTGGGGTTCTTTTCGGAAGACTCTCCGTTGCTGTCGCGGGATGTCGTATCGAGTTTCCTCATCCTTGTCTGGAAGGCGAGAGTGAAAACAATGCATCTGGAATCGAGTGGGCGAGAGAAGACAGCTCTGTGATACAAATAAATCCCAAAAGTGAGAGATGCTCGCAAAGAAAAAAGCACTTCCATGTTTATCGGCGAAAGGCCAAACCCCACACGTCTTTTCCCTCCCTACCTTGGCCTGCTTAGGGAATTGTGCGCGACGGAGGGTGGGACCATTGCGCCATGGTCTTCTCTTGCTTCATCTCCAAGCAAAATTTGTTTATGTCCTCAAGGTTTTTAGGTTCTCCATATGCTACTGTGGAAAGCTCCATAAGCTTCTTGGTTGTTCTACGTTTTCCTCGTTCACTGTTTGCGTATGCTGGTAGGTTGCTCCAAGTTGTAGGAGACAAGTTTCGTTTTGTCCAGCGCCGTAGGTTTCCTGGAGCTTTGTGCGGTGGGAAGCTCGATAAGTTTCTGGTTAATTCCACAGTTTACTTGGTACCTTGCTCTTTACTGTTGATACAATGTATAGCGATAATTCCAGCTGTGATAAATAGAAGGAATTTGTCGATATTGCGACCTTTCTTCCCCAAGCTATGCTTTTAAGATATCCTAAGCTTGCTATTGGTTCCCATGTCCATACTGTTTTCTGATTGAAGTTGTCTTGGTTGGGCTTTTGACTGAGTTCTACAGGTAGTTCTCATCGAATTGTTGCGAGCCAAGCGTGAGACATGGAGAAAGATTCACTCCTGCAATGATGCATGCAGTGACTTTCAGGACTTGGGGCGCTACTAAAGAGAATGGAACGGGGAAAATAGAGGTGCGGCGGGAAAGCGGGAAAGTGATATTTTCCACTGTCTTTAGGGTCTTTTATGCAAAGGCATTTTAAGTTGTGAGCGGAAAGAAAAAAGGCGACGCATTGTATGTGATGGACGATCGCAAAAACCAAAATACAATTGTGCAAGTTGGATGTTTAATTTTGCTTTTATCGTCGATCAAATGATCTTTAGAAGCATTTAAACCAAATTTAGAAGGGCACTAGGAATGAGTGATCCATTAATTGTACTGTAACAGAATTTGGTAAACGAACTTGCTTAGACGCTTGTGAAAAACCCAGCAACTGATAGAATTCGAAAGATAAAGAGAATCTTCGTCAGAATGAGTATCCTTGAACGATTTCAACCTAAGAATGCGATATCTTCTGCACGATGAAACATTGAATCACGATCTTGATGTCGAGAGTTCCAATCTCTATCATTAGCAGTCATGGAAAGATCTAAGAAGACCGATGCACTGATACAATCGGCCAGGACTGTACTCCATCGTATCTCGGAATCAGATCTGGAGACCATTTCTAGTATTTCCACCCCCGGCGATCAAAACCCTCACGATCGTCACTATCATTTGAAGAACGTATTGCAAACAAATTCCACAACCTCGCATGGATTAAGCGGTGGTTAATTTCAAATTTGGTTCGCGTTGCCATATCTTGACATGAAAACATGAAAGAAGGAAATGAAAGACTCCGGATTCCCTCTCATTCCTGCATTATGAGAAAGAAAGTCTGAATCCACGAGCATCCACTGCAGTTGTCCACTTGATGTGGAGAAACACTTATATGATGATTTTTTGAAGAGATGTAAGTCTCTTGTGCACCGAGTCAACTCAGAGATCAGCATATAAGGAGAGGAGGAGTGGGTCAATGTGGACAAAACAGGATACCACACTGTTGGAAATGGAGGTGGGCGTGAAAACATTCCAAAGGGTGCCTCCTCCTTTCGCCGGGAACGCTACAGGCATCGTCGTGTAAGGTGAAAGGCATCTAAAGCAACAGTCCCGCGGAAATTGCCTCTCATCAATGGCACCCAGAGAATACAAGGAAGACTTTGCAGCGCCACGTGACACGCGGCCATTGCGAGCGAGGTCACAAGTTCATCCAACATGGATGAAACAGACCGCAAGCCATCGAAGCGAAAGCGAACATTGCGGATGCCGGGCGGGCAGAGGCACGCAGCAGCAGCGACCGAAGGTCCGCTAGGGTTGTTGGGTGTCGAGGGCAGTTAAGAACGGTCTGTCCGCCTGGCCGTCCGTCCGTCCGTCCGTCCGTCCCAGGCACCCTAGGCTTCACTGTGTTCTGTCTTCGTCCGCCTCTGGCCTCCGCTGGTAACTAAAAGTTACCGATCGGTTTGAGGTGGAATGTGGCCCCGCGCAGTGAAAAGATGTTATAACCCCACGCGCCGGTTAATCTGGTATGCTCCCCCGGAGGAGAGCGTTTCTGCCTTCCTGCCTGCCCGCCCGCCCGCCCGCGCTCGCTCGCTTGCCCGCCCGCGTCCCGCGAGAGAGACGAGAGCGAGGCTCAGACAGGAGGAGGCGAACATCAGCAGAGGACGAGGCGGAGAGAGAAGCAGAAGAGTGGAGACGGGAGCGAAGAAAGAGTGGGCAGAGGGACGGGAGGACAAAAGAGGAGACGAGAGGCGAGGCGAGGCAAGGCACGGGAATGCGAGCGACTTCTTGTTCTGATCGTTGACGCGAGAGCAGGTGGCGGAACCATTCGAAGAAGGTGGTGGTGGTGGCGTTTGCTGGCCCCCGGGTGCGTCATCGTCTTCATGCGTCAGTTGCCGTAGGGGAGTGTGAGGCGCGCGGTATCTTGTTGGACGGTGACGCGATCCAGTTTGTGCAGCACGGGACGGATTTTGTCCGGGAAGGTTTTGCCGAGGCCACGGAAGCGAGTTCGATGACTTCCGCATCTGTGATTGGCCGATTGTGGGATTGGATTCTTGAGGAGTTCTGGTAGACGATTACTGCCGAGTCTGTTGAGCGCGCGTGGGTCGGAAAACGACGGAGAGAGGGGCACGGCGGAAGGGAGGAGGAGCGGATGCGTTGAAAGCGAGCGGGGAGTAAATTATCGTACGAACGTTGTAAATTATCGCTGCGGGTGTTCCAGTTCTACGTTGCCCAGCCCGCTGTATGTTTTTAAGCTCCTCCAGCCTTCAATCCAGTGGCAGCTTGATCAATATCTGGAATTGTCGATACGTGGTTGTGGTCAGGAAGTTCGTGCGCCTGAACTGCTGTCAATCGATATCCTTATTCTCCTCTTTGCCGTAAGAGATTGTGAGGCTTTTTCTGGCTCTTCCGGTTAATGGATAAAATTATTATTTTTCAACTGTAGCTATGCATGTGAACTGCTGCGTATGATGTGATTCCTTTGTTTCCTTTGTTGCGTTTTCCATCTGGGCCTGGGCTTGATTCCAATTGTGATTTCAATTTCAATTTCATCTTCGCTTGATTTCAACTTTTGAGTCTAAAATATGTGTATGCTCGTTAGAATATGTTCGTTGAGAGAAGTCTAGTAGATTTATTTCTGGTTACTTCTTCAATTTTGCGGGTTCTTGCACGGATTCTACAGCATCTCATGTCAGAATTTCAGAAGACTGATATGTCTACCAGCTTCGGGTTGGATCAGCAACCCCTTAATGCATAATTCTGAACTTGTAAGCCTGCTGTGAGATTCGTTTGGATCACGGTGGTGTTGCAGAGCCCTTTCTCTCTGTTATTCATCGTGGGCTGCTGTAGACTTGATGCTGCACGCTGCAAAGTACTTATGATGTGGTCACAGTTTGTATTTGTTTCTTGTCCTGTGTTTTAGCGTCTTTTCACATCTCAAACTTGGAGCTATGTGCAAGAGTCAATCTATTGTTGCAGTGACTTGGTTTCGACCCACAATACACTTGAAAGTTGCTACGTTTGTTTGCTTGTTTTTCTCATTTACCCGAAGTCATTAGGAAGACGAGAAATAAGAAGTGGATAGTCGTTTTCGAATCATTTATGGAATCTCGCGTAGGACTAGAAAGTGGACGATCCTATCCGATATTTGAACCTGAACCTGCCGTAACACACTCATCACTGATTCAAGTCGCTCGATTTGCTCAATCACAAGTCCATGTTGATCCTCTACTAGTAATCCAACGTACATCTCAGTTTTTTTCTCGTCTTTTGTCAAGCTATCCCAGCTTGAAAGTTTTGCAAACCACAGAAGTGATTATACGACTTAACCTTAGTTTAAATATTTGGTCAATAGTCATATTATGTAGTTTATATCACATCTGCTTTGAGGCAGTGGAGCTGATTGCCCTATTTTGATTGATATCAGTTGTTTGTTTTAAATTTTGGTCCAGGCAAGTGTCCCAACCTCCTCATGAAGCGGTCTTCATACGTTGGGTTGCAGATTGCTTACTGTAGTAATATATGTTTCCGTTTTGTTTGCAGAACTATCCTGCAGGTCGGTTTTGCCGAAGTGAATGAGGCATGGCAGCTTCTGTAACTATCAATTTGGGCAGCCTTAGTGGAGGAAGGATTCTCAATCCTCCTCCTCTGAGCGTTGCATTTGAAATAGAAATATCTGAATGTACTGCTTCCACATCTCCTATACCCAAGCGAGTAAGGCGAAGACTCCAAGAAACTACAGAAAGCAAATCAAAATTTCCCGCTAGCCTTGAAGACATTGAAATTAAGCTGAAGGAGGCGGACTCGAGACGCCAGGTCTCAATCACTGCCTTATCGAATTTCATCTTGTTCCCTGTGCCCCTGAATTACTCGAATGTATGATTCAGGGGCACATCCAATCGGCAGTTTTGTATCGTCTTGTGACACACGAGGAGCAGGCTAGAAGTTCTAGATCCTCGTTTCACCAATTACCTCTCCTTCTTTTTGCTACAGAGGAACATCTAACACTTTTGGATCGTTTTTGTGTGGCGACAGCAATTTCATGAGTGGTTGGCAAACAAAGCTCGTCCAAAGCCGAAGCTAAGTCCTTCTCATCCTCAAGCCGAAGACTTGGCACAACGTCTAGAGGCCAAACTTTCAGCAGCTGAGCAGAAGAGGTAGGTACTTAATGTCATGAACGGAAATGGCTCGTTTTTTTTTGTCAAATTACATTTCTTACCATGTTAAATTAGTAATATTTCCGCTACGTTTATACCTGGGTCTCTGGAAGCTATCGGTCAAGCCAATCGATGAGATAGACGCAGAAATCTAGCTCATTCAAGGTCACTTTCTCTGAGGCATCTATCTGATCGCTCTATCTTGACTTACAGAGCGGAACTGCTGGCCCATGAGCAGACAAGGCTTGCCAAATTGCATGAGCTTCGAGTGGCTGCTAAGACTGAAGCTCAGCTGCGAGCAGAACGTGAGAGGGAAGAGTTGGGCTCCAAGGTTGAATTTCGTGTACAGCAAGCTGAGACGAACAGGCTAGCTCTTCTAGAAGCCGAGAAGCAGCGCCGGGCTGCAGTTCACGAGCGCATAGCTCAGTCCGTGATCCATCGAACAACAAAGGAAGGAAGGGATCGGGATCGGATTGAAGCTCTTCGGGCGACTATTTGCCAGAAAATTGCTGCAGCTGAAGAGAAAAGAGCAGGAATTTTGGAGGCAGAAAAGAACCGGGCACAAGCATGTGTCTTACAGGCTAGACGGGTAGCCAAGGCTGTTGTGCGAGAAAGGGAACTTGAGATGCGGAAGAAGAAGGAGAAGCTGGAGGCGAGACTCCAGAGGGTATAGATGATTATGATATTATTGTCATGTTGGGATGGGGAGTGCTATGATGTGGTTGTGCAGGACTACTGGCATACGATATATAAGTTGCTGACTGTACTCATTCTTTGTCACCGTCCAGGCCAAAAGACAACGTGCAGAATATCTGATGAAGAGAGGAGGATGCAGAGGAGCTTGCCACAATCATGGCCACAAGCTTCATAAGCACGGTGATAGATTATGCCGCAAGCTTACAAGGTGAGATGCTTTGTCAATTTATCATCAATTCCAGAAAGCGAACAAGGTATGAATGATAGGAGATGGCTGTTTGCATGTTGGACGCATTTAAACTAGGAGTGATCTGGTCCTTACTATGTTTCGGTTCTCTTATGCAGATGCTGGAGACAGTTTCGAGGCTCAAGACGGACCACGTATGCTCTGGCTCAGGAGTACGCTGCCTGTGCAATCAATCAGGAATTAGTTGTTTCACTTCCATTTGAACAGCTGGCTTCTCGAATCACGTCTCCAGCAACCCTTCGCAGTGTGAAGCCTTTGCTCGCACGGATTGAAAGTCGCTTGATGCTTTCGTCAGCAGGAGGGCAATTCAGTATTGGACAAATCGATCATCTTCTGAAACGCTTATTTCCTTCCCGTCGCAAAACTGGAGGTCCATCTGTTACTAGTGCTGGGAAGAAGGGCTCAGCTGGTCTCAAAGGCAGCAAGGAGAGTGTGAAGGTAGATGAGAAAGAAATGGAAAGATATCCTGCACGAGTTTTTCTTTGTGCCTATATGATTCTAGGACAGCCGGATGCGGTTTTCAGTGGTCGCGGTGAACGTGAAGTAGCACTTGCCGAAGCCGCAGCGAAGCTGTTACCTGAGTTCGAAGCGTTGCTATCCATAATCCTCGATGGTCCATCGTCTACTCCTCTACGTCCATCTTCTCCAAGCGGCGGATACGAGAAGAAAAATGGATGGACTGCCGAACAGCAGGATCACCAGAACAGTTGTGCATTCCCTGCCCCCCAAAGACCCTTCTCTGTCCAAATGGCCACTTTCGATGCCGCATGGTGCTCATACCTGTACCAGTTCGTGGCCTGGAAAGTGAAGGATGCCCAACTTTTAGAGGAAGATCTCACCAGGATGGCCTGCCAGCTGGAGGTCTCCATGCTTCAAAAATGCAAAGACACATCGGATTTCAGCCACGACTCTCAGGCCATACGCAGACAGGTTCGTTCTTCCCCTTTCTGGTTTGGTACTAGAAATGTGAAAACGGAAACTCTCTAAGATTAGCTTGTTGTTCTCTTAAGTTGTTATCAGACTCTGAGTGGTCTACTACACTCTTTCAGTGAACGCTTTCATGGTGTCACCACCTTTAAGACATGCCGATATTATTAGACTCCAAAGTAGCCGGAGAAGAATTTCTTGGAATCAACTTCGGATTATTGTGTAATAAAGCTGTGATTTTATTTGTGGTGATTGATTGCAGGTCTTAGAGGATCAGAAGCTGTTGCGTGATCGGATTCTACATCTGACGGGTAACGCAGGAGCTTCTAGAATGGAAGACGCTTTGTCAGAAGTACGCACCAAGTTCAACGAAGCTTTGGAAAATGGATCACCTCTACCTTCGCCCTTCTCGTCTCCCCCTGTCGTATCACGGACACCCATATCTCCACCTCCCACTCCTTCTCCGTTTCTTGGATCTTTTGCTGATGTTCCGGAGGAATCATCAAGCGGAAGTAGGGCGAAGGTTGTACGCCATCTCTTCAAACCTGCAGACGAGTGTCAGTCAATGACCGAGAGTGTACCTGAGGACCGGACTGAACCTGGTGCTCAGACTGTAATCTTACCATCTATGTTTGAAGTAACTGAACCCGCATTCACCAACGAGAAAATAGTCCATGAGATGCTGCATGACCCAAGCTGGCAAATGATGGACCCTACTCAACACAAGGGCACATCTGAACCCCTCGTTGCTGGAGGCACCCAAACGACCAAAGTGGAAGAGTTGCAGGTGAGACTGTGGCCTCTATTACTAACGGTCACTGCCATTTATGCATAACCTTTACAGTCATCTGGTATGTCGTGATTGATCGTATCTATTTTCGGATTCTGCAGGCTCAAATACGGGAGACTATGGAAAGCGCTTTTTGGGATGGTATCGTTCATGGTTTGCTGGAAAGCCCCCCAGAGTATGGGCGTGTTGTAAGTCTCGTCGGAGAGATCAGGAAGGAGTTTGAAAACATTATTCCTGAAAAATGGAAACAGGATTTACTAGAGAGTATGGATCTGGAGCTACTCTCTCAGGTTCGTAGAAGCTTTCCTTCTTCTCCATGGTACATCTCATAAAAGTTTAAACGTCTAGAACTGACGAACCAACCAGGTAGGTTCAGTTGTCATTGAGTTGGATAAATAGTTTGAAACTTACTGGAAACTTTGGAATATGTGGATGTCTTATACAAATTCAAGGGAGTGTACGAATACTGTTTGTTCCTTGGCCCTTTTTCCCACAGCAGATGAATTTGAAGGTCTTATTCAGAGGTTTGTTTTGTCACCTAGGACTTCACTACCGTGAAGGAATGCTAGTGCTTTGAATTCATGTTTCTGATGGCAAATTGAGCAAAGCTCTGAGGGAATGTATTTTTGGAACGATAACTTTGTGAAGATTCTGGAGTCGGGGAGCTATGACTTCGAGTATCTGCGGCACCTCTTGGACTACGCGTCAGGACTGATCCTCAAGTTGGGTGCACCAATACGTGACAGTGAGACCAAAGCTGCGCACCAGTCTCTGCTGACTGGCTTGTCAGTGTCACCAAAGGCAGATGGTGAAACTCAGCGGGCTTTTGCAAATGCAATGGTCAAAGGGTTGCGCTTTATATTCGAACAGTTGCAGGTAACTTGACAGAACTTTTGACCTGTCGCTTAGAACTACGAAGCCACTGCCTTATATGTTTCTCTGTGATGTAGGCTCTGACTAGTCTTCTAAAATTTGGTGTTCGGCTACATGTGCCAGCCCTATGCCTCAATGTTGTGGAATTTGAAATGGTCTCTGAGTAGGTTATGTGGTTCATTTCTGGGAACAGGTACTGAAGAAGGATATCAGCTCATCTAGGCTTCGAGCTTTGGCCCCTATGATAAGTGGCTCTGCAGGTGTTGATTATATGCGTAAAGCGTTTGCATCACGTTTCAACGTACCAGCTGTGATGCCTGCTTCAGTCTCCGACATTGCACAGAAGCTTCCTCGCACAGCAGCATGGATTGGTGAAGTTGAAGCTAGTCTGGAACAAGATAGGGAGGAGTTTGAAACTTCAGTAGCCACAGTCAGAGCGAACCTCATACAGGGCAATGGTATGACCGCCGGATTGCCTCCGTTGCCGTCCATGCGAACTGGTGGTCGATTGGGTGCTGGTGGGTTTTTGTCTCACACCGATCGGACGGCTGCATCTGTCGGTAAGATCGTCTTTCTTCTTTCGAATGACAACTTTTTCTTAAGGACAGAGCTCCTCCTAACCAGGACTCCAGTCCATCGCGAATTCTTTGAAGCATGTCTTCCTACAATTATGTAAAGTTTACTGATACTGGTGAGGATCTCTGTGAAACAGGTGACTCAAGGCCGAGGACAGTAGATTGGAAAAGCACTGATACAGTCTTGCGATTGGGCATTTTGTCCCTTGTGCGCCATTTTGAACCTGCTTTTGAGTCTAACGTGCCCGAGACGCTTACCTTGAACGTGGAAAGGTTGCGCAATTGTCAAAATGATTTTCAACGCATTATTGTGATGGCTACTGGGTAAGTGCCTGCACGAATCTTAGTACGGATCAGTTTCTGTAAATTCAGACTTTTGAAGGATTCTAACCTGCTGGCTTGCGATTTGCAGATTGCTAGTAGCTAGACAAGGGCTTACTGGCAGGGGGGTTGTTGGAGCTGAACTGGATATGGTTATGGAGCTCGGTCGTGAAAAACTCGATGCTCTTTTGAACGAATCAACTGCCACCATTGCACAGATTGGAGCACTTCTTGCCCAAATTTCGAGTAATGCGAATTCTTCTGAAGCAAGTCCGGAGCATACAGCTTATTGTGAACTGATGACAAGAGTCCTCGCGAAGAGTTTATCTCCTGATGACGCCGTCTTTGCAAGAGTGTCAGCAGCTGTGGGTGCCAGTTTGAGGGCTGTACTATTACTAGGAAAAGGAACCGATGGTTTGGCAATGGCAGAACTGGCCCTTAAGAGAATTGGTGGGAGTATTCTTCTAGACAAAGTTACGTCTGCCGCCGAAGCCCTGGAGAAGATAGTTACGGTGACTTGCAGGGTACATGAGCCGTGGTATGCATGCATCATTACCAATGTGCCATAGATACAGACAGCCATTAATTTGTGCGGTGTACAATCAGCAGCGACATTGCTACGCTGGATTGGTAGACAGCGTGCAGAACTGTAAATTCTACCATTCACCTGTACAGAAGATTGTAATATGACAAGTAAGTTATTCTTTATTAGTGTAGCTCTCTAGAGATACCATCTATCCCATCCGGGCAGGCCACACAATTTGATGTTTCCTTTTTCCTTTGTTGTGTCGCTGCGGAGAGATTACAAGAGACTCTGTATCATTAATGTACCACTCAAAATAATTGGAGAGTAAGGTACTTTTGTCCATTGCGTCTCGTCGTTTCTACTCACTCTTGTGTACACTAGGTGTCCTCTGGTCACTCCGTATTCAAGACGGGCGTGTAGCGACCTAGAAGGTTTTTATGTGATTTGCACACTATGCTTGTATTGCCGCTAATTGGAACCTGAGTTGTGTCACGATCTGTTTGGGCTGTAGGCTTGCTAAATCTAGCAGTTGAAATTTGTCTAAGACGCTTCTTTAATTTTTATCAGTAACTTTCGACGCACACGTAAGTTCGGGGTGGCATCATGCAGAGACCCAAAATAACAGATTTCACCTTCTTGTTAAGTTCTCTTGGACATAGTAATCCGAAGCCTCTCGTGTGTATTGATGATAGAAGAAATGCGTGATACAAGTCCGTGACTCAAGTGTAAACTTGCAGTCACAGCAACAAAAAGTGCACAGTGAAATATTTCTTAGCTTAAACCCAAATCCTACGTGAATCAATTTCTTAGGTGCATTGCGTGGAACCAAAGGTCTTGAAAAAGACTTGTATACGTATAGTCAGCATCTCTCCAATCCTCTTTTCGATTTACTTCGAGGTTTTACAAGCATTACGTACATGCACTCTTTAATACGTTACAAAGTTTGAACAATGTTCAGGGTGTCTTCGAACTTGACCTGCGTTACAACCAAAGTTCTATGTCACATATCGCCTCTATTGATTGCCTTCGCTATTTCCAAAAATCCTTTGCGGTTGTCTCCGAACTTAACCGTCATAACCGAAGTTTTATCTTACTAACTTCGAACATAGCACACTCTAGAACAGACCACGTTCAGAGTTGGCAGGATCTTAGATGAGAACATGCACTTCCGTCACCATGCGTTGTAATGGTGTACGCATGTGGAGAAGGGTGGAAATTATCTGCGAGGTTGACAGCATGTTTGAAAACACACACTTAATCTTTTAGGCGAAGACAAGATACGAGAGAATCGAGTACTATAGCTAAAAGATCGGAAGATCCCATGAAGAAATCTTTCTCTTGAAGACAAGATAAAAGAGAACCTATTAATACAGCTCAAAAGACATTAATACTCAAAGAAGTCATACAATGATGATACCAGAAGGCGAGACTGAGGCTGGGTCGAATGCATCTATATAGTTCAAAGAGGCTACATATTACTAAAGTCTAATGTTTTAGTTTTTTGAATTATACAAACAATATTTACATGATCTCTTAAATAATCTACATAATATAATTTTAAAAAATCTGATACTCGTGTTGATATAAAGGGAGTGTTCACTATTTCAAAATGCATGCTTTTGTGAGTGTCAATCTTGATCTAGAATTATGAAGATATGCAGTTCTATTGTGATTTATTTGCAGAAATAATCTAACAAATCATGACTTCATTAGAGTGAAAAAATACAAGTAAAAGAAAATATCAAGAAAAAAAAAATTTGTATTATCTAAACTTCAGTCTTTCAAAAATTAGATAGTTTTTGAAAGCTTTAACAGAATTGAGACTTTAGAAGTATTAAGTTCCGTGAATTTATTCTATTGTGTTGTTTTTAGCATAAATCCTTCACATAAACCATGCAATTGAGCTACATGTTTGTCAACAATACCGTATGATCGAGCCGCATGTTTGTCAACAATAATGTATGATCAAGCCATAAGTTTGTTAGTAACATCAAACATGCAAGTAATATCATGCTTAAACATGAAATCAATAATAATGATGGTTTTTTAATCTTCAGCAAAGAACATTTACAAATGATAGAAGTTGACAACAAGTTGAGAAATTGTTCTCAAATCTATGATAAATCAAAGATTAGGAAAAAAAGGTTCATATCAAATAAGTTTTGAACTTGCAATGAATATTTGTGATCAAATTAATTTCTTTGTACAACAAATCAAGCTTTGGCTTTATATTCAACCCAAATTTGAACCATCAAATGATTCATCATTTGTTTTCAATGATCAACATTTACTTTCAATTAACCTTTGATGAATTTCTTGAAATATATTCAATTGATAAGACATTTGAGGGAAATTCATTTTTTGGTCAATTTTGTATTCATAAAATTGTTGATGTCCAATCAAAAAATCTTGATTTTCAAATCATTTTGTTGTTTACACATGATGTGATCTAAATTGATGTTTTGAAATTTGCATTGCTTCTTTATTCGCCCAGTCACTCATGTTGTTTCACTACGTTTTCAACATCTTAATATCATGTATGAATTGCTTCACGTGTACCTTAAATGCTAAGTTTTACTTTTTTTGTTGTCTTATATTGAAATTTATGATGTTTTTAGAAAATTTGCTTCTATAAATTTAAAATCTAGAATTTTTTAACACTCATAAATTTTGTTGATCATAAATTATAACATTATAACATAAATTATAACTTTTATTATCCCTTCCAGTACTGGCAGGTGTATTTGCGCCTGATGAGGTAGCGATGCCTTGGTCGAATTAGAGAGATGTTCACTCGAATATGTAAATATAAATTTTGAAGATGATAGATCTCAACAATGATTCTACTTTTCTTTATTTAGTTTTTTCCAAGATATACAAGGAGATAATATCTTATTCCCACCATCCATCACTCCTAGTAGATGGATGAGGTGACGGATAATCTAAACAAGCATACGGATCACTGATGTGGCGCTCTCAACTATCACACTAACAAACACACTCAATTTCTAATTAACAAACACACGGACCGCTGACATGACGTTATCCACTAACACACTATCAAGCATGCGAATGACTAGTGAGAGCTAAAGTAACTATGTAAACATTTTGAGTAACCTTTACTATATTTCTAACTAACTAAATATGGTTTCATAAATGCAATCATATATTAAATACATACATCATATAAAACTAAAAATAATTTGATTTATTTTAAATTAATTTATTTCCAAAAGTACACAATTTATTTACTAAAAATCTTATATATTATATTATATAAAAAAAATTGATATAATTTATGAAAATTAAATTGTTTCATCTATTTTTCTTTTATAAATAATAACTTTCAAATATATTTGTATGTTATTAAATTATTGTTATGTGTAATCTTTATTGATGAGGACGTTTGATAATAGCGGTCTGTAAGTGACACGCTGTCGATGACTATGAATTCAAAGTATTGGGTTTGTGGTTTCCAATGATTACTGTTTATTTAAAGGGTCAAGCAAGATCTCATGGCCTCAAACAATTGCAAATTGTTCTTGTGTTCATACATGTGAATGATATATCAAATTTGTCTACATGATCTATCGATCTATGAGTGTATCATTTAACATTATCATATGTACTATTATTATAAATTATGAATATATATATATATATATATATATATACATATCATAAAAAATTTGATAATGTTTGACTGTGAAACTTTTTTAGGATTTTTTTTTAAAAAAATTTCTCATCATTTTTTAATTAATTTATCTTAAACTATTGTAATTTCAACACGTAAAATGTATGACATGTATTAATAAAATTTTAAAATTCTATTCTGTTTTCATACAACTATACATGACAACAAAGTGAAACACATCAACATTAAGTACCACTTTATTAAGTTATTTTTTGGGAGAGTTTTATTGAACATTGTGCTACTATGTATGTTTTGCATGAATAACACAAGTAGATTTTACCAGCATTTTTTTTCAACTATTTATAAGTTTACTTTATCATATTCTAGTTACGGTTTAGTTCTAGTTAGATCTAGTTTGAAAAGTGATCTCTGTTAGATTCACTTCTAGTACTTACCGCAAAGTAATTATATATGTTATGGAGTTAATCGTACCTCGACATGAGTTAAGAAAAAGATTATTAGGGAATACTCTTGTTGATTGTTTGTTGGTTATTTGAAAGATCCAGGTTAGGATATCAGATTTCTATATGTTTAGACTACAAAGGGCAGGAAAGCTTGCTCCCAGCATTGTAACAGGTTTTTTCAGAAAATCTAATCCTTCCCTGGACGTAACAAGAAGCTAATCACGTTATTCGTCAATGTTGAATGCATTGTGTTCTCTGTTGTGCTTTCAGAAGATTGTTTTTCTCGTGAATTCTTTGATTAGATAAAACTAAATCATTCATGTTCAAAATGAAGCAATATGCATTAGTTGTCAATTCATTTATTTTATTTTTTAATTTACTTCAACCATAGTTAGGGATTAGGTTAAACTATCATTACAACAGAATTAGCAAAACATACTTTTAGAGTTGTATTAATGAAGAATTTATGTGTTCAAACATGTTCACATGTAGCTTGCAGTGACAAATCAGTGTTAATTTCAGTTTCAATTTTAGATATTTGATTATTACTTTTTGATTGATTAAATTATAAAATAGACATGTTTAAATTGCACTGCTAACAAATGACAGAACTTTAAAATACGTTTCTTTATCATTTTAAAATTAACATCAATTTTTTAACCTTTATTTTGAAGTGATTTTTCAATCATGATTGGAATGTTAGAACAAAAGCAAACAAAATTTAATATTGATCTCGAATGATTTTGATAGTGGTTTTGGTTACTTTTATACTATGAGTAATTATTTAATCACAAAATTTGTGAATACATCATTTAATCTATCTCAGTTAATGATTATAATTTCATTGTTATATCATAAGCAAAAATATTTTTTTGTTTCAAAACTATTTATTTATTTCAAATAATGAAACAATGGTGATACATTACAATAAAATATCATATCATATCAAATGATAGAAAGCTACTTTTTTATCAAATTATATAGTTGATTTGAGATTGATTTATCCAAATTAATGTAAGAGTAAAATAATTTGCAACTCAAATAAGCCATCAAAGAAGAATTGATATTATTATTATTTTCATATATGCTCCATAATTCTGTATATCAATGTTATGTCGTATGTTTAACTTGGTCATTGTAATTTTTTGTATTAATTATCTAGCTTATTCATATGTTACAGAAATAATTCAAATATATTTTTATCAAATCATCATCATATATTGGCCTTATATAAACTTGTACTGATTTTTTTTAATTCTTTATATATATTATTTCCACATTCATTTATTTCAAAATAAAAAATTTTATAATTTAATATCTGATAGTTTTATTCAAAAAAAAATATCAACATCTTCATTCTATGTATATCATTATGATGTAGAATCTATAATGAGCTTATTAGAGTTATGAATACAAAGCCATGAAAAATGGCACAAAGTAATATAGCAATGAGAATGAAAAAACCTCTGTGAATTTGTACATAGGTAAACAAATATTGCAATATTGGAATTATATGCTACAATCACACAAATAAATAAAATATCTTGATAGATATGGATAGCATTTGCTATTGATTTCTGCATACATTACAAACATGTCATCCAAAATCTTTCTCATTAATTTATAATCTAGAATTATAAAAATCTAAGAAAATTGCATATCGGGATGTGTGTTAAGTTCTCGAATACTCTTTCACCCTCATGTATGTATACACTAAATTAAAATCATAAATTGAGATGGTTAAAACATCTAAATTTCTTATTACGTTTTGGACTAGGGGGTCGGTCGGTTTCGGACTTGGATACTTTCTTTCCATCCATCATAGTTTCCATGTTGTACTACAGTTATTTACACACGTGTTAGTCATCACCACAGTAGCAGTACACGCGCAGCTGGCTTCTGAAACTTCTCATCCTTTAGGGTTTTGACGGCGAGAGATTAAATGGGACGGCGCTCCAGAATTCTGGCAATCGTGCGGAGGTCGGCGAGCGAGGGCTCGGCGGAGCCATGTGTGACCGGAGAAAATCCAGCGCGCAATCGTGGTGCACTCTCCTCTTGTGATCTTTCGTTATGAAGACGTGGGCGACAAGCGGCTGATCAGTGACGCCCTACCGATCTGGAAATCTGCTCTGTCGAAAAGGTGCGGTATATCGCAGACTGCAATTGGAGATCTGGCTGGGGAGTGGATGTTTCTTAATCTTCGAGCATTTTTCAATGGAGTTGTCCGTTTTCCGGCTAAATCCCTGATATACATACGATCGAGATGAGGCCGGGCGATGGATGGATCCTGCAGTGCAATTTATGGAGCTTTTGGATCTATCCACTGGCCTGCTAGATCCCCCATGGTTGTTTGCACATGGACAGATGCCCTGGGATCGACTTAGCCATCCTTTTGTGTTTTCAGTTTATCCTGTCTGATGGTTGTGGTGCTATCGTCCTTTCGTTGTCCTTCCCCGGCCGGGTGTCTGCTCTCAAGACCGCAGGATCAAGCGGACGCAACAGGACTTAGTCTAATTAGCACCCAACTCTTTCGGCATTGTCAGCTGCCTGTGCCTTGGATTTTGTTCTTTCACGTCTGGGTATCATTCCATGCTTCTCCTTCTTCCCATTTAGCATGATAAATCTCTTTCTGCCATTACAATCTTTGATTAAGATAAAACTGAACAACGACGTCTCAACTCTGCACAAAATTTGTACAATTATAGGTCGTAATACATTCTCAGTTTCTGAAACAATAGTGACGGAAATTGTATACGGTTCTAATTTCATCTGTACGTTATTATTTTGATGAGAAAAAAGATATCATACGAACTTAACGTCTATAATACACGACAACACGAAGAGGATAAATATATGTTGCAACAGCCACTTTCTCAGCATTATGAGTGCATATCTGTAGCCAAATACATAGAGAAGTAACCAGAAAAAAGTCTCCAGAAGAAAAAATCGAAGGTTCAAAGGCAAGCCCCTTTAAAACTGGTCACTCCAAAATTTCCTCCTATCATGCTCCAGATATATGTAGTGCAAAAGAATTAGAACCAAAATCTTTTGGCACGACAGGTAAAATCTAAATTCGAAATCAAGAAATTTTGCAATATTAGGTAATGTAAAATCTTTGATATGCTTGATAAGAATAAAACTCCACCATAAAATGATCAATAAAAGCACTTTTATTTATTATTGTACGTATAATTATAAACATAAGACTGACCACTTTTTCAATTTAGTACTTACAGAATTATGTAGGTTCAGTTATCCAACCAAAACTGAGCATTTACTTCATTTAATGAGAATAGGCGAAGATAATTTCATGTGATAAAAATACACAGCTACTTTTGTAAAATTAGTTTAAAGAAATATCTATAAGTGACAAATTCAATTTCAAAGTATTCAACACTTTGTTGTTTACCGACTCAATATTATCATACTTACATAAATACTGGTCAATGTAATCAGTACCAAAGACTTTTATTTTGCAGTAAGTCATGTTTTGAATTCAACTTATTTTAATTTCATGGAAAAAAAATAATTGAAAATAAGCATCAAAGGTTTTAAATGAATCACTTCTAATTTTAAAGTAATATACATCTGAAATTTGAATACCAAATTATCAATTTGTCAAACATGACATTCTGTCGATAAAAGTATATTTCGTTTAGTCTTTTGCCACCGTCATTGTTTCTTCTTTTGCTCAGCCTTAGTAGAGGTGGTTTGCAAAAGCCGCAAACCCTAAAAACTTTACCATATGAAATATTTTTGCTAATATCTTGAAATGTTGTAAATTTTATTTCTGAATAAAAAATTTGAATAAATAAGGTAAATATAAGTGTGCAATCATTAATTTACATACGTTTAAGTGTAAATAACCAATGTATATTTATGTCAGATGTGTAAATATCAAGTATATATGTGTAAACTCTAAAGAACGAATATTTTACCAATATTTAATTTTTATTGATTTATATCAAGTTGATATAAATTGATGATGCAGAAGATACAAGATGGTGATCGATTTTTTATATTTGTGCAGAAGTACAGTTTTTAGTTTAAATTAGGCTAAAAAAATCAACACTTAGCATAGTAACATCGCTGGAACCCCATGCAGAAAATATAATGTGAAGTAAACATAGATCAACTACAATCAAATTAAAATATATATTAACTTTTGACATGATAGGATGTAATAAGATTTGTTATAATTTTATTAAGTATGTAGTGTAATAGAGTTTACAAGCTTTCTCCATTAACGATATTTTGTCTTTATTCAATATTGGAACAGAAGAATTGACATTTAGCATTTTACCTTGAAATAAAAATATTATAAAAAATCCATGGAAATTAGATTTAATCTTGTATTAAAATACCTTCAGATCCAATCGTATTTACATTAAAACACTTATAGTATATTGACGAGTAACACCATGAAAAGTAAGAACCTGAAACTCAAAACAGTTTTAGAACAGAAAAATCTATAATTAATTTTGAAAAAAAACATTAAATTTTTCTCAATTTTGAAATATTTTAAAGAATAATCTCGGATTATGTGATATAAATCATTTTTGTTACTTCGAGTAGATTCAATGTACCTTTGTTTAGATTCTAGTTTCTTACTCGGGTTTCATATTAGCAAGTTTGGAATCTTTAATGTGATGTTCTCATCACATTCACGACCAGAGAGGCTATTGTTACCATATTTCATCATTTCGTCCAGGTTAAAAATAAAGCAATTTACTATCAACTATTCATCATATATTTTTTAAATCTTTCCATTTCTGTTACAAAAACTCTCATTTCGTCCAAATATACTCTTATCTTAAATTTGCTGTTTATAATAGATATTTTTGAAAACAGATAATTTATCTTCAAAGTGCACACTGGAGAGTGAGTGTGGTGCCTGTCTCACAGCCTTCGCACAAAACCATACAGCAATCGAGCGATTAAACTCTGGAAATATGGCGTGAAGGTACTTTCTTTGGTCCTAACTGGTTAAATTAAGATTTCCTGGATTCGTGAACTGTATCGATAAAACTTTGGAGAGAAACCAGTACGGAGTGGAAACAATGACTGCATTAGTGACTCGTACCTTGCTGTACTCTACAACTGCCACAGGGCACATGCATAGCAACATCATAATATGAACATGTGTTTCTTATGTTTCTTCACTAGTTTCGTGATAAGAGTAATGATCTGGGAAACATTTTTGGCCAGGGTCTGCAAAGTCAATGGTATATAACAAACAAGAAATGGACAACATACATAACAAAGCATGAGACATCATGAGAACCATTCGATGGGACATTTGAAAAGTAGCAGTTGTCAGAATTTTACGGCACATCAATCCAATCCAAAGATGAAGTCAGCCACAAGTCTTGCGACTTGCGATATGCTTCAAATGCTATGATATACGGTCATACTTATTTCAAGAGTTCCCACCTCGACTGGCAACACTGTCGCCTGACAAGAACCAGTCACGGTGTAAGAATTTCGCGAACGGAAGGAGCGACAAATCCAACTGCTTGGTTACAAAATTCAGGCCATCAACACTTTCACATGTAACAAACCAGCCACCGTCCTCGCAGACAAACATTGGATACATGTAAAATGTCTACAACAAGCCTTGAAGGCAAATGCGAAACCTCCACTTAACAGCAAGAAATATCATTTCAACTTCCAAGATATTTTAAAAATCTTATCACATGAATTTCACAGGGTATATCACACAACATCAATGACGTCACAAACAGGACTCTCCATAGACTTCAGAGTATTACTTTTAACATAAGGCAGAAACCATTTATTGTACTATTTGTATTGACCGAGATAGCTGCTTATTAGAAAACAGCTTGAGAATAATATGATTTTCCAAAAAAATGTGATTTGCAATGTGAACCCTCTCTTCCCGCCTGTACCTAACCCTTCACGAGGGGCCTCATCGGCCACAATTCCACATACGACTGACTCAGCAACAACAGTGGAGAATCCAACTACTGCTGCTTTACTATGTCCATGGGGAGTCTGGGTGCATTCTCCATAAACTGCAAGCCAAAAGCCAAAAACCAGCCAGCCAGAAAGGATTAGCCCCATACATACTCCTCCCTTGTGATGTCCGCATAATCCCAAGACGAGATTAAAATAGAGCTTCAGTAACATAGCCAGCTTTTCAACACGTTGTCCAATGCATCAGAAAGTCGGTTACCATACCGTTCAGAAATTTGTACACAAACAAGGAGCACTGAGAATCTCCGTTCTCAGCTGCTCGTCGGTCCAAAGTGCGAGAGTCAATAAAAAACGTGAAGTCCAACACAACCTAGGATCTCTTAATTTTAAAACTTAAACTGAAAATGCTGACAAACATAGACAGCGCTCAAAATAGCAACACGGCGATGATTTGGTGTTTCCACTGACAAATAAACAAGATATCCAACAGATAATTTCGAAGCTGATAACAGAAAATGTCCTACTTGTAATCCACGGCAGACAACTTATCGGGTATTATTAAATGCGTAATTGATCAAACATACAAGTGTGGAGATAGATTGTTCCCACTTCACTCACCTGTTCTAAGCAACAGGAATGCGTACACTAGTTTCTATGATCTAATCTTAATGAAAATCTTCAGGCCCCAAAGAGGCAACAAGGTTGGTACTAGAGGTGGGCAGATCTAAAATTAACCGGAACCTGAGTAAAAGCGCAGTATCAACTGGCACTCCAATTAAGGGCAAAAACCAGTTAACCTTGCAACTCCACCCTAGATACAAGTGATACACTTAAAATGAAACACAGGTGTCGAATCCAATTCATCCACCAACTGATATTCACTTTAATGAACATGGGTCAAACAAAGTTGGAGGTAAGCAAAAATCTCTCTTATCAAACTATGCTCTCTGGTGGAGTAGCGCTTCAGACCACTCACCAAAATCAATGCTGCTCTCGTGAGGCACCAGCTTGCAACTCCCTCTTATGATAACAGAACCAGGATTATAAATTTCTTGGTTCTCCCTGTACTCAATTCCTACTGTACTGCTTCATGCTCCTTTGCTGTAATCCTCAATCCGTCCCTTTCTTGCTTCTGAAGTTCTCCCGCAGCTCGGCAAATTTCTTGAAACATTGAGATTTGTTCTTGCCAGGAACAGCTGCTGCAATCCTCTCCCACCTTTGTGCAGTGTCCTTGGGGAATGTCTTCAAGGCCTTCACTAGGGCTAGCTCCTGCGTCTCAGACCATAACTCCTGCTCCGCGGCACCTGGAGTTCCATTTGGAGCGCTGGAGGCATTTCCATTGCTAGAGGGTTGTGTGTCCGCAGGTCCTTTCTTCTCAGAGCTGGACTCCTCTGGTGCCGCAACGCCATTCGCTAAACCTTCCACCTTCTCCTTATTACCAGTACCATTCGCAATGACAGGGGTACTAGCATTAGGATTTACCCCTGTATCTCCGATATCTTCTCGGGTTGAGAGAGGTGAGGCAATAGAAACATCTGCGGTCTTCCTCTTTTGGAGAAAAGAGTCGAAGGCTTTGGAGGAATCAGGTTTCTGCAAGAGAACAGTTTTGATGGCCTTCAAAATCTCGTCTACAGATCGCCCGGTGCCTATGTAATTCGCCACGACCTCCCAGCGTTGTGAAGTTCCTTTCGGGTACTTGGCCACGGCTTTCCTCAGTAACTCCACCTCCTGCTTGCTCCAAGGCTTCTCCTTCTTTTCAACTCCATTGAGAGCACTTACGGATTTCTTCACCTCCTCTCCAGGTTCTGTTGACGAAACGTGGCCATTTGGCAAACCTGTGTCCGCTTTCACAGGGCTAACCTTCGGTTGGTCCTCGGTAACACTGCTGGGTGTACTTGCTGTAGCAGACTCAACAGTGGTTGCCCTTTGGGGAGGGGAACCACTGTAGGATGGTTCAATTGTGAAAGTGCCATCGTCAACCCTTTTGATGATATCCTTCAGCATCTCCGCCTGTTCTTCGACGGCCTTCTTTTCTTCAAGTTTCTCGCAGATGCACCTAAGTTGCACCATCTCCAAGGACATGCACAGAGTCTCAACGCTATCATCAGAAACACGAAAATCTTTCCTCGAGGTCACACCTGCAGCTGCCGAACGCAGTCTGGACCTCTCCTTCCTCAACAACTTCTTTTCTTTCTCCCTAATTTTTTTCTGCGCGGCAGCTTCTTCGGCTATCCTCTTATCTTCCACTTCCTTCTTCAACTTTTCCTCCTCCAGCAATCGCGCTGCCTCTAACTCTTTCTCTTGCTTTGCAAGAACCTTGGCCTGCTTTTTTCGTAGCTTCTCAGCTTTCTCCTCCTCTTTCCTCCGCACAATCCTAGGGTCCCTCTTGTATGCATTCTCAATCAGCGTCCGGATCCGACCGTTCTCTTCTTTCTTGGCCTTCTCCCTTAGCTTTGTGTTCTGTCTCTCCATCCATCGCTTGTGTTCTCGACTCTCAGCCTGCTCTAAATCAAACTCGTCCGCGTGTGGAAACTCCCTCCAGCTCTTGAAGCTCCACCAAAAATCATAAAACCTATCAACATCCGCCATTGTGGATTCATCCTCCCCGAGTGATGGTACAGGTTGAGCAACAGACCAGCGTCCATTTCTCGCAAACACTGGCCCGAAAACCTTGAAGAAGTCCTCCGGGGAACATTCAGAAGGCACTTCATCATCAAATTCGTCGATAGAGTCGTACACACGTCGCTTTGCAGGGTCGATCAAAACCTCATAGGCTTCCTGGATAGCTTTGAAGTGACGATCTGTCTCTTCCTTCTTGGCCTGTTTAGCCTCTTCAGTCTCTTCCTGTAGTATCAGAGCAGCTTGCTTGTCCGGGTGATGCTTCAAAGCAACTTCCCTGTAACTCTTCCGAATTTGCTCCTCGGTGGCCAAAAACCGGAGATGACTTAGACCTAACAAAGCATAGTGATCCTGTTGATCTCCGTCATCCTTCCCTTTCTTTTTACCTTTGAAGTGATACGAATCCACAGACGGAGACGAGCCCTTTTCCTTTTTGTCGGATGCTGAAGTATCATCCTCTTCGACCTTATTCAAGCACCCTAACAAGCGCTTGGCAGCTTCATTGAAGGAATGACCGGCGGGCTCTTTCTTCAGTTGGAAAGGGGAACCATTGGAGCACACATACAGAGGAGCGCCATCCACAAGCTCCGCCGAATTGTACGTAAGAAACAGCCGGTGCTTTAAAGCCGGCATGATGAGAGTGAGAAATTACATGTGAGAAGCGTCGTATGAAGAGTCAGTGGAAAGAGCTCTCAGTGCACTTCAGAATGGGGAGATGGGAAAGTGTCTGAGGCCTTGGAAGCAGTAGGCTAACCAGTCAGGAGAACCATCTGCTTTGAACAGAGTCCAATCGCCCGCAGATTCGGGAGACGGGCAGAAGGCTGTGACACAACAACAACAACCAAACCTATTAAAGCGTTGCGTGATATACAGCACAACCGACTACACACATGCATGCAAAGGGTCGACTGTGATAAAAAAAATATCAGTACCAACAATCAGTCCATCAAATGACAGTCGACACTGACAGTTACGGGACCAAAAAGAAACACGCTCGCCGCCTCAAGAGAATTCCCATACCCAATTGACGCTCCACCGATGTATGCAAGCCACCCGAGATCCCAAAGGACAGAAATCAATTCCTCGGGTGAAATCACTGAACTTGCCCCTTACGACCAAGCAGGCAGACAATCCAACCTACAGAAGCGGCCCAGAACGACCATCCCCAACATACAATCTCCACACAAACCCCTCCAACACCCTTTTGGATACCCACCTCTCCTCTCCCCTCCCCTCTCACTTCTCCCCTCTCTTCCTTTCCCATCACCTCCCTTCATCCCCCTCGCTTCATCCCTTCCCACCCCCACCCACAAGGCGCCGCATAAGATTCTGAACCTAAAACCGAGGCACCGCCCGCCACCCAGCGAACGGGCGAGCGCGCCACCCACCGCGCCGTAAGTCAATCCAAATCACGAGACCTTAACCCTACAACAAAGATGACACCATCTCCACCATCCCCCTCACAAAACCGTCAGAGACAGTCGACCCCCATGCACTCCACAACTTCAGCACATGCCTGTAGCACGAATCAACAAACGAAGAAGATCGCTACCTGATCCTTCCTGCTGCTCCCGCTCGCTCTCGTCGCAGAATCGCACATACACCAAAGCAACAACTAGCACTCTACACCGCTCGACCCGACGACGGCCGCGAATGCAATCTCCTCTTGTCCTCCCCGCTCTGGCAGCGCTCAGGTCTGCGTTACCATGCCCTGCCGTGCTCTCTCTTCTGCTTCAGCTTCAGGGCGGAAGATGGGGCTGTGGGTGGCAGGCAAGGGGAGGGAGGAGGAGGAAGTGGAGGAGGAGGAGAAGCAGGACGACAGGAGAGGATGCTGCAGAGCACACAGCGGAGAGGAGGAGGAGGAGGCGACGAGAGGCGCACAGGGGAAGCGGAGCGCGGAGCTGAACGAGCGACTAGAGAGCAGGAATGGATGGCAGACGGTCCCTTGGCGGCCGCAAACACTTTCCCGCTTTGATCTCGCATTACTATAATTAATCGCGCTCACGTCTAATGACGCCACCTCCTCTCTTTCCGTCTCGCTTCGTTCAGGACAGCCTTAGCTTTTAGGTTTCAATAATCTGCTGCGCCCGTAATGTCTTGCTTTCGCTGGATCGTCGGTTCGTCGCGCTCTTCTGACTGATGCCAACTGACTCCCAACATACTCCATTGCATGGATGGATGGAATGACTTCCTGTCTCGTTGCGACACATGTCCGTCGCACGGACCGCAGATGGAAAACTCCGGATTCTTTCATTTGTTGTGACTGTCAGTCACCGAAACACCTTCTCGTGTTTGGCCCACTGACACCTTCTATACATCTTTGTCACGCTTTCTCTTACATTTGCCACTGTTTTCCATGTGTAGGGTACACCGGTTGTGTGGCGAAACAATTTCAGATGTGTTCAAATTGAACACATCTGAATCCAAAGGGGTAAGAAGGAAATGCCCTAATAAATAGGACAAAGAGGGTCCCATCACAATGTGAAATATGTATTGCACTTTAAACATCCAAACTACCTCAACTTATTTTATATATTCTCCATGTTGAAAGGTTTAATCATGATGTTTTCTTCTGTTCTGCGAACGTCGGTAGTGGCCGGTCAAAACTCGTTGTGAGGACTTTGACAAACTCATCGAAGTCTTATACTTGCCTAATTCTCCGAACAAATCAGAAGTTCATGGAAAAAATGTCAAGGTGTCCAAGTGGATAACAATGGAAGATAATTTAACTATTCTCTATGCAGCTTACGAAATCAATAATCTAAACTTTGCAACAATTTGCTGGAAACAGTCCACTCACGTTATCTTGATTTGAATATAAATCTTCACCTTCTGGCGATCTTCGTTGACATGTAGCACTTTATGACTAACTTGGTTGTGTATCAGATATATTGTGTTTTTGTTTCTTTCATTTTATACATCAGATTAATATTCAATATTTTAGCTTAATCATCATTTGATTCAAATTATATATAATCTGAAGATGAAAAAAATGTATGTGATAATATCTTAAATTCTTTCAGACAAAATTTACAGTGACGTATTTCAAAATTTGGAAATATATAACTCATAAATGAAATACCATAAAACATATAATATATTAAAAAAAATTTAATGCATGAAAAAATACTATGTATTATATACAACTTTTTTTTAAAAAATTGTGATCATCCTGTCTTATACTGAGCGTCATAATTTTTTTCAAATAGTATAAAATATTATTTGCAAAAAAAAATTTAAGATAATACTATAAAATATATTTCATTTTAAAATTATATATTATTAAATTATTATTTATCAATACCACTCAAAGTGCTACAAACGTTTCTCGACCCACAGAGAATAGCGACTGCCCAAAGAGGAAGGAGTTACCCTATTCCTTTTGGTGCTCCGGCTGTCCTTGGACTTGAACCCCCATATGGTAAAGAGGACTGAAGTCGGGAAGACTACTCAAGCAGAGGACAACTTAACCCGGTCACGAAGTAATGACTTCCAAAACATGCGGCCGGCATGACCTTCGAGTAGCAATATCTAAACGACTAAAAGAGACACTACCCTGCACACCCAAAGAAGTCTTCTTCGAACACTGCGGCACAACCATCTCTTAACAATTTTTAATACTAATGAATGGTTAAGCTACAACCTAGTCTCCTACTATTCCACAGTATCCATCACTCAATATAATTATTGATTGACAATAAATTTTATTCACGTACATACTTCTTATAAGTCTTCAATTGCAATTCTCACCTTCCAAAAATTTTCATTTTGCGATAAATCCATAGTAGAGATGATAAGGATTAATCAATTGATATCATACAAAGCTTTTAAAATTACTTGAAACAAACATTTGAGTATGACATTAAAATGGAGCAAAAGAATCTTTTAATTTTTTTCATTTAAGTTTTTCAGAATGACTTGTAATTTTGATTCAGAATATCAAATTATTCAATGTGTTGGAAAAATGAAAAATATTCCAGAAAATACTATATATAAATATGATTGATTGTCTATTGTCTATTGTCTATTTAAATTATGTCTGCCCTCTTAAAGTCACAGAAAAAATGTGTATATTTTCTACTCAGTAGAAATAAGATAAATTGTGTATAAAATAAGATTCTTTATTCTATATGAATAAAAAATATTTTTTGTTAGCATGCAGGCTTTTTAATACAATCAGTCAATGAAAGTAATAAAACTGATTCTTAGATAAAATAATTGCAAATAATTTTTGAAAAATGCGCATAAAATTATACCGTTTTATGTTATTCCGACGTAAAATATAAAATTATAGCGATATAATTCATTGAAAAAAATATATATAATGACTAGAAACAGGACTAGTAATTCTTACTTAATCCTGAAATATGAGAAATTTATTTGATCAACGAAAATATTCAACAATGTTTTCATTTTTATGAATTATTTTTTTTTCTACAAATATTTTCAAATAATACATGAAGAAAAAAACTAGAAATTTGATCAAAATGTTTCAACTCGTTTAAAATATAGTCATGGATTTGAAGAATGAATAATTCCATTTAATCAAATTAAAGTTCAAAAAAATTGGTACAAATCAAAACTTTATAGTTTTTTAAGTAAACCAAAATAATGTTAGTTTGAATTTGTATCCCATGGTTTGAATTGAAAACTTTGAAAAATCTTATATTTATTAATAATTAAACCAACAAAAAACGGGATTTCTGGTGATTCTTTTAAATATAAAAAACATTTTCTACATATCAAATATGACAATCAAAGATATTATTCCAATATTGTTAAGTAAGGATTATTATTTTGTTACATACAAAAATTATTTTTGCAACTGATGAAATCAATTAAATTATTAATTTTTATTAAACAAAATAAAAACCTGTTTTTTAATGTATGTAATAAATTATTAAAAAGTCTAAAGGGTGGTCAAGATCTTTGTACTTATTAGACAAAAGGTTTTCTCCAAGCTCGAACCCCAAGCCGAGACCAATAACTCCCATTCCAAACAAGGGCTTATGATTATGCTACAGTAACCAACAAAAAAATCAACTGCAAGTTTTCCATGTATCGTACCATTATAAGTGATGAAGAGCAACATTTTGGAGTATGTACACAAATAATAATTTTCATAAATATCACATGTAACAAACTACATTGAAATTTTGAAATGTATTATCTCAAAACAAGATTGAATCCATGCACCGTACAATATCATTGCAATCAAATGCATGTAATATTATCATTGAAATTCTTTCACAAACAAATAGTAAGTCAACTTTTACCGTTGATTAAATAATTCATGGTCCGTTTCAGCCAAGTATGACAATGTAAGCAACAAGAACAAGTGTCATTTATGATATCTTTGTTCAAAAACAAATTGTAGTTCAAATTATCTATTTAGAGTATTATTTTAATATTACGATTTGAATTAAAATATGTCATTTATGTAAAAAAATACTCTTTAACATGCATTTTTTTGACAATGCTAGCTAAAGTGGTATAAAATCTATTATATAATAATAAAAGTAAGACTTATTTTCTGCATTTTGTCAAGTTGGATATGAAAGCAGTGTTGTGAAAACTATTTGTATATAGTAACTATAAGAAATTTGTCTGAAGAAAGTAATCTTATCATTTAAATTCTCATTTTATCATATTTGTTTTTTATTTCCTCGCCTACAAACAAAGAGAAAATATATTGCACACATCACTATTTTTGTGTTGTTTTTTTTGTCTACACAGGTATAAGCAATAATGATCATATTTTATATGCAACAACAAAAGAGTGAGAAAGTGAAGATTGTTGTATAATAGTTGTATATAATAATTCAAAACTTGTAAGAGTAAAAAATAAAAATATAAGTTGAAGTAGAAGTAAAATTAGACTAATAAATCATTTTTAAAACTTAAATGACTTTAACAAATAAATCAAAATTTGTTATAAAATCAAATTTTCAATTTTCAAGAAAGATGTTTCATTGTTAGCATAAATTGATGATAATTTGATAATTTTTATGTAACATTTAGATTGAATTTAACCAAAAAAAATCAAGAAATATAAATTAGAATAAATTTTCATTTATATACAATTTTTTAAATGATATTTAAAATAGTGATTTGTTCAATTTGTTAAGGTTATTAAAAATAGAGTAATTTTTTATTCACAAAATTAAAAAATAAAATTAAATGAAAATTTCAGAAATATATAATATAATTCTATCATTTATAATCATTTGTTCATATATATAAGAACCAATAAAATTAACAAAGTTAAATAATAACTTCACCAGCCTTTAATTAATAATTAAACATATGATCTTCATTATAAAAAATAGGAAATATTTCACTTGAAATATCAAGTAGCAGGATGAAGTTATCGAATGTATCAAAGAAATAAAATCGGGTTAATCGTATATTTGAACAAATAAATATTATATCATGATCATACAAATTTGTGGTTCAAATTATAATTACAAAATATTGTTTAAGAGCTTTATGAAATCAGTGTTTGAAAATAATTACTTTTGCCAAATTTCTTGCATGCTTGTGTTTTGACGTCCAAACATCTTTTGTCATATTTAAATGAACATTCAAATCTAATTTTTTCATTACGTTAATATTTCTATTTGCTACTCACATGAAATGAACTATCAAATGAAAAGTATCAAGTATGACCTTATTATCTTTAAGTCAACAAAACATTTACATCTTTTTCTCGTAAATGAATGTTTTCCTATTTTAGTGAAAACACTAAGATGACAATAGTAAGCAAAGAATGAATTTAAATGACAAAATTTGTTCTAGTCATCGTTTATTACTTCTTCAAAAAATTTGAAGTCAATCATTATATTATAAAAAACATAAATATAATCATGAATTTTTGAATCAAAATTTATTTTTTTCATATTCATAACCTTCGTAGAAGCATGCAATGTGTTTGATAATTTGTTGGGATTAAATCGATGCTTCAAAGC